CTACTGCATTATGTAATGGTGAGCATTTCTGCTCCCCAATCTACTCATCTTATCTTGAAAGTCCTTGAGCAACTTGCTGTTAGTGCAACTACTCACCACCCCAGCAAACCAGCAGCTACCCTGAAGACTTCTAGTAAAGCTTTAGGAATTGTTTGCAAAGTTAAGCAAACAAAAGGAAGAATTCTCAGACCATTCCAGTGGTCAGGCTGACAGCTCAATCTGTTCCAAATAACCTGTGGCTGCTTACTTGTTGAGAGATTTGGGTGGGAACACAAACTCCCCCACGGAGATGGTGTCCACAGCACTGAGGGCAATCCTGGTCACATGCTGGCACTGCAGGCTGATGAAGTTGTACTTGCAAACCAGGAGGGACCAGTCCGTGATGAGGACAAGGCGCTCCTTCTCATTGTTCCAGTGATCGATTCTGGGGAGAGAACACCACTGAGCTTTAAGTGCTCCTGGCTGGGAACACTCAAGAGCTTGGCAGAAAGCAGAACTGCTGAGGAGAACAAATCTGAAGACCCGGTGACGCTGTATTCTCTGTCACTTTGCTTTGTATCAGCAGGGCCAGTGCAGGGCTGAGAGTCTGTGCCCTGCTGCACACATGGGGATTTGGGACAGTTTGTTAAAGCTGTGCCTGAGCTTTACTGCAGGCGTGGGTTCCCTGTGGGACTGGATTTCGTAAGGGGTTAACTGGGGAGTGTTGATCTGGAGCTGGAGGTCTGGGTTATAAAGAAATAATGATGGCTGCAGCCAGCCTGGGCCACTCCGGGCCCTGTGTGCGCGTTAATATTCGCCAGGTTACAGAACAGCGCTGCGGGCTGCGCGGCTCTGGACCAACCCCGCGGGGCCGAGGCTGCCCTGGCTCTCCTCTCCCCGCCCGCAGCGCCCGTCCCGTCCCTCATGCACTCACTCCGTGAGCAGCCACACGCTCTGCACCTCCCCGTCCTCGGCGGGCAGCACGACCACCCGGATCTCGCTCACCGCCTGCTCGATGGTGCCGGGCTGCGGGGGGAGAAGGCAGAGTTAGGGCGTGGAGGGGAGAAGGGAGAGCTCAGGGCTGCGGGAGAGAAGGCACGCAGAGGTCAGGGATGCGGGGGGAGAAGGCGGACAGAGCTCAGGGCCTGAAGGGGAGAAGGGGGACAGAGCTCAGGGCTGAGGGGGAGAAGCGGGACAGAGGTGGGGAGAAGGCAGACAGAGCTCAGAGCATGAGGGGGGAGAAGGCGGACAGAGGTCAGGGCTGAGGGGGAGAAGGGGGACAGAGGTGGGGAGAAGGCAGACAGAGCTCAGAGCATGAGGGGGGAGAAGGCGGACAGAGGTCAGGGCTGAGGGGGAGAAGGGGGACAGAGGTGGGGAGAAGGCAAACAGAGATCAGGGCTGAGGGGGAGAAGGCAGACAGAGCTCAGGGAGCCGCGGCCGGCCCGCTCCCGTCGCGGCGCGCACCCGGAACACGAAGTACTGTCGCAGGCGGCCGGCGCGGCCCGCGGTGCGCACACTGAGCGGCCGCAGCGTCTGCCGGGCCGGCGGCACGGCCGGCTCGAAGGGCGGCCCGGCTCCCCCCGGTACCAGCGTGGCCGCCCCGGGGCTGCCGGGGCTGCCGGAGCCGCCGGCCGGGCCGGACTCGTCCGCGTCCCCCAGCTGCAGCATCGCGGCGGCGCCGGGCGGGCGCTCGGAGCCTTCCGGGGCGGAGCGGGGCGGGCGGAGCGGCCGCGGGGCCTCTCGCTCCGCGCCGCGCCGGGAGGCGGCACTGCAGCCCCGGCAGGGATGCTCGGCCGGTACCCGGCGGGATGCGGGACACACAGCTCCGGCCGTCGCACGCTGGGGGTGTACACAGCGCTGCGTGCTGTCATTATCCCTCGCTCAGAGCTGATTAGGTACCGGGTACCATCACTGTCGCATGGCCAGGGCCGTGTCAGGTGCTGTGAGCATCGTGCACACCTTCTGTCAGCTGAGGGAGTGACATTTCAGCCAGGAAAGAAAACTTGAACTTGTTAACGCCAGTTAAATCATAAATCTGACCTCAGTGTCTCATTTCTCAGTCACAGTCAGTAATTGATGGTTAAGAAAGAGTGTGACAGGAATGAAAATGGGCAGTGTGTCTTCTCCACTAAAGTCTGGAGTCTCCCGGTTTCCAGGACTGTGCAGCTTGGGCACCATCCTTCTGGCATAGTGGAAATTATCAGGATGACAATCTTAATCTTTCAGAGTTTGAACAAGGGAAATGATGAAAAACACCTGAGTGTGTCATTTATATGGATGACAACTCCTAAAATCCAAACAGTTGCCTGGACAACGTGGGTTGTACAAGGTGTCAGGTGCTGTCACCATCACACAGCAGGGCTGTACCAGGCCGTGGGTGCTGCCACATCCCCTGCCCAGAGCTGGGTTAGGTACCAGGTGTTGTAGCTGTCACACACCTGGGGCTCTGTGAGGTCCATGTGCCACCAGGGTTGCACACCCAGAGGTGTATGAGGCATGTCTCAGCCCTGCTGTGGATTTTCAGGGCTAAGACAAGAACCCACACACGTCACACAATGAACAGTGGGAGGCCCTGAGCTCAGCCAAAATGATGCTCTGCTCTGCCCAGGTGGTCTGGGCAAGACTCTCATATACTCATAAAGGAACAAGATGTGTGGGTCTACAGAGGCCAGGCAGAGCTGCTGTGAGGCAGATCTGGGTCAGATGTGCAAAATCCTTACATATGATCAGGACAGAGCTTGGGAAGGTACCAGAGGAGGGTGGGATAGGGACAGGATTGTGCATGGAGAGCCCTGGCGCCCATATCACATCCAGCACGCTTGATAGCAAAGATTAAATAATGCTGGGGAATGAATGGCATGCTAATGTTTCAGTTTCTGTGGTCTCTGGCATGACTGCAGATATTATCATCAGTATTTATGGAACTGTATCAAATCTTGGACCACTTTCAGGGCTGTTTTACATGGAGCCAGAGGATGACATCCTCGGCGGGCGGCTGTGCTGGGAAATGATATAAAATTGAAAACATACTAAATTGACTTCACAGACAGAGTAAGGTTTCAGATATCTGTCTTTCACATGTGTCCCATGAATCCCCCGCTCTCCACAGCCCTTGCTCACATGGGCTTTTTCTTTTAGGTGGGAAACCTCACTACTGGCTTTAAAGGGACTTTATAAGGACTGCAGAGCTGAGTTTGTGCTGGGTCACTCCTCAAAGCGCAGCTTTTCCTGTCTGGGGTGGCTGTGGCTGGGAGAGTGACCATGCCAGGCCAGCCAGGACCCTGCAGTTGTGTCCCTGGCTGTGTGACAGCCAGGATTGTCACCTGGCAGTGTGGCAGCTGTGGCTGGACCGATCAATCCCCATCCTTGGCCTCGGGCCGTGTCCTGGAGAGGGAGCCCGACTCCCGGCTCTGCCCAGTCCCTGCCCACTGGGAGGAATCCCTGGAAGTCTAACTGGGAGCAGCCTGTTTCCTACTGTAAGAAAGTTCTAACTATTTAATCCCAGATAGAAAAAAGAGAGGCCTGGATTTATTGCATCCTGGAGCTCTCCCTGTTGTATAAAACATCTTTATGTAGCTGCCTTTCTTCTCAAGGAAGAATGAATGATGTTTTCTTCCCATCCGTTAGGCTTGGCTGATATTTTACTGCTAAGTGGAAGCATTAACCCCCCTCACCTGCTCTTTTCTCTTACTTGAGGATTTATGGCACTGCTGTGACCTTGGGAGTGTTCTGCTGTAAGGAGCAGCTGCTTCAGTTTTTTCCAAGGGCCAGCAGTTTTTGGGCATGGCCCTTGGGGACTTTAGTCTTGATTAATGGTTGTCCTTCAGCCACAAAATATGTCCATGAAACTATCACAGCCTTCCTCCTCCTTATCCTGCTTCTCTGATGGAAATCAGCACCTGCCCCAGGCCAAGTGAGCTCTGGAGGGCCCTGGGGCAGCTCAGAGGTGCCCAGCTGCTGCTCTGGTTCCTCCTGGCCCTTGGGGAGGGTTTGCTGGCAGGTGCTTGAGATGTTTAGTGCAGCATCCCTGTTCTCCTCCTCCTCCCCATCCTGCTGTGCCAGCTGCTGCCAGCAGAATTTCCTTGGGAAGCCATCAATTTTGTTGTCTGTTGGAGTGCACGGGAAAGACTGAATGATTGAATCTCTGTGGGATGTTTTTCCAGCTTCTGAGAAAGGGATTTGGGCTGGTGTGTCCGCACACAGCCTTGGGTAGTGCAGAAGAGCTGCGTGTGGAGAAGCAGCCCCGAAGCACCGCTGCTCCATCCCTCCATCCTCCCCCTCCTCTGCTCGGGGCTGGGCACTGCTCGTGGGAGGGATTTCTGACTGACAGCGAGGAAAGAGGCAAGAGAGCATGTGAGGGAAAGGAGCCGGACCTGGGAAAGGCAGGGGGAAGTTTTGTTAGTCCCCTGGCCCGCGGGGAAGCTGCTGTGGTGCTTGTGTGCGCGGGAGGAAGGTGCGGAGCTGCGGCAGGAGGATGCCTGCACCTCTGTGGATGGAGTGAAGGATCACCCTGCCTGCTTCGGGAAGAGCCCTGCGAGGTGAGATTCTCCTGCCAGAAGAGCACCCCTCCTTTCTCCTTCTCCTTCTCCTTGCCAAGGGCTGGATTTGGAAGTGCCTGGGGAAGGGGATCGCAGCTCCGGAGCAGCTCAGCCCACATGGGGCTGCTCTGCCGGGCACAACCCAGGTCTTGTGAGCCCCCAGGTCCTCCAGCTTTGTCGGGAAGCAAATCCCAGAGGGAAAAGTCACTTCAGTGCATTTCGCTGCGAGCAAACGAGCATGAGAAGCCGGGCTTGGTTTGGGGAAAAATCCAGCTGCAACCTGCACTGCAATTTCCAATGGAGTGAAGAAAGTCACTGAGCGGAACCCGAGAGGGAGGAAGCATCCAGGAACGATACGAAGACTCCCATAGCTTTGTCCTCTGCAAAGACACTGGCACGTTGGGAGCAGGAGCCTGTGGGGAGGAGGCTGCGGGATTCCCGGGATAACCGCTGGAAGCACCTGGAGGGAGAGGAGCAGCTGCCATGGAGTTTCCTGCCGTGGCACTGTCACTCATCGTGGCGCTGCGAATGTCGCCGCTGGCTGCTGGCAGCAAACTGCAGCCCCACATGTGAGTAGGAAGAAAAGAGCTCCGGAGGGGTTTTGTCGGGCAGGGAATGGAAAAGCAGGAGCCAAACGCAGTGTTTTCACATCAGAGAGTGAAGGGGCAGGGGGGAGCAAGCTGTCGTGGGTTTCTTTATTTACTTCTAGATGTGCAGAAAAGGGGAATAGAAAATTGAAAATGTGGATAGTCTTTTCTTCTAGGAGGGAACTCCTTGGTTTAGCTGAAACTTGTCTGAGTGCAAGGGATGATTCCTGTGTGAATACTTTGCCCTTTCTTCCAAGACCTGCCGCTTTTATTTCACTTCACAAATCCTTCTTATTCCACGTTCCTCCCTGCCCGCTGCTGTTACTCCAGCAGCACGTAGGCTGCTCTTTTTAATTACATTTTACAGTTACAGTTTGGTGTTAATCATTTGGCTGCTCTGGAAAACTTCCTTGCAAATTTGGCCTCCTGCCAGAAGATGGTCTCTGAGAGCCAGGGATCACTGTAATTCCCTTTGTCCATGGTGTGGGGTGCAGACTCCAAGCCGCCCTCCCCGAGGGGTTTAATTCTTTACAAAAAATCCTGTCCTTTAGAAGATAAAGGTTTTGGAAGAAGCAGCTTTTTCTCCCCATGTCAGGGTTTTGTGCTCCTGCCCTGACAGTTACTTTCAGGACTTCTTGGACAGGGCACTGGAGCAGAGCCCTGTGCCAGCACGCCGGGGTTGGAATTGAGCAGCCTGGAGAAGTCGGATGCCAGCTGTGACCTCTAAGCTTCACCACGTCCAAATGACTTATTTTCACCTTTTTTTTTTCTTTTTTTTTTTTTTTTTTTAATAGAATAGAAAGTTTTCTTACCTCTAAGAAACTGTTGCTCCTGTTGGAAGCAGCAGAAGCAGCCCCAAATGCCAAGTGGCTTGTGGAGTCAGGGACAAATGTCTCACTCTTCATCCTTAGTTAAACCCACTGACTTGTGCTTGGAGAAAGAGTTTGGATTAGAGAAGAAACAAAGTACATTTCTTTGATTTATTGGAATTAGCCTCACAGCCCTTAGCTCTGAATGAGCATGAAACCACCCCTGTGGCTGGTGGGCCTGGCACAGTTTCTTTTCCCTGCAGTGATTAACTCATTGAGGGGGTGGATGCAGGAGGTTGCCCAAGCCCTTCCTGCCCTGCCAGCAGGAAATCCAGGCAGTGGGAGTGCTGCACCCCTCGCAGCTCTGACCCCCTGTCTTGGTTTGAACAGACAGGTGTCTGCTAAGGAAGGCAGGAGCCTCCCTTGAAATGGAAAATGTAAACCCCCTCCCCCTGAATTATTATAATTTTGTAATTAGGGGACTCTCAGGCAAAGATATGGGAATAGGAATAACAGTTCTTTACTAGGAAAATTAAAATACAAATGCAATAGTACAAACAAACAAAAAACCCCCCGTTTGCAGAGTCAGAATAGACCTGCCCCCTGTGTGTCAGGGTGGTGGCACAGTCCCAGGGTATCTTAATAGATGAGGTAAAATATAAATTTCTGTTTATAATATGACATATATTAGAAATGGCCAGTAAAGAGATGAGGCAAAAGATAAAAGGAGAGAATCCCCTGGGGTAAGTGGGATTGGGTCTCAGGGAAGGGGTGGGATCCCTTGGAGAGAGGGAGCCGAGGGTTTTCCTGGCATAATCCACTGGGAAAGTGGGATAAAAAGTGGATATTAGTTACTATTTTATTTATAAAATATCTGTTATTATATATAAGATGTATAATAAATAAAACCAATGTATATATACTCAAGGTGTAAACCCTGAGTTTGAGGGAGGATTGGTTGTGGAAGAGATAATCTGCCCAATTAACAGAAGATAACTGCCCCAACTCTAGGAGATGATAAGAGAATACACACCTGGCTAAACCTGAGACCCTCTGGGTCCCCTGCATCCCTCCCATCCCTGCATTTCTGTGTGAGAATACACACCCAGCTAAACCTGAGACCCTCTGGATCCCCTGCATCCCTCCCATCCCTGCATTTCTGTGTTCCAGGCTGAATGTGCATGTGGAGCAGGAGCTGGGGGTCGTGGGGCTGTGGCAGCCTCACAGCTGTGATCCCCTGCATCCCTCCCGTCCCTGCATTACTGTGTTCCAGGCTGAATGTGCATGTGGAGCAGGAGCTGGGGGTCGTGGGGCTGTGGCAGCCTTGCAGCTGTGACTCCCTGCATTCCTCTGGATCCCCTGCATCCCTCCCATCCCTACATTTCTGTGTTCCAGGAGCAGGAGCTGGGGTCATGGGGCTGTGGCAGCCCTTTGCAGCTGTGACCCCCTGGACCCCCTGCATCCCTCTGGATCCCCTGCATCCCTCCCATCCCTACATTTCTGTGTTCCAGGAGCAGGAGCTGGGGTCATGGGGCTGTGGCAGCCCTTTGAGGCTGAATGTGCACGTGGAACAGGAGCTGGGCGTTGTAGGGCTGCGGCAGCCCTTCACAGCTGTGACCCCCTGCATGTGATCCCTCTGGATCCCCTGTGATCCCTCTGGATCCCCTGCATCCCTCTGGATCCCCTGCATCCCTCCCATCCCTACATTTCTGTGTTCCAGGAGCAGGAGCTGGGGTCATGGGGCTGTGGCAGCCCTTTGCAGCTGTGACTCCCTGCATCCCTCTGGATCCCCTCCGTCCCTCTGGATCCCCTGCATCCCTCTGGATCCCCTGCATCCCTGACAGCCCTACATTTTTTTGTTCCAGGCTGAATGTGTGTGCAGAGCAGAAACTGGGGGTCATGGGGCTGCAACAGCCCCTCACAGCTGTGACCCCCTGGACGCCCTGCATCCCTCTGGATCCCCTGCATCCCTGACAGCCCTGCATTTCTGTGTTGCAGGCCGAATGTGTGTGCAGAGCAGGAGCTGGGGGTCATGAGGCTGTGGCAGCCCCTTGCAGCTGTGATCCTCTGCATCCCTCTGGATCTCCTGCATCCCTCTGGATCCCCTGCATCCCTCCCATCCCTACATTTCTGTGTTGGAGGCCAAACGTGTGCGCAGAGCAGGAGCTGGGGGTGGTGGCGCTGCGGCAGCCTTGCAGCTGTGACCCCCTGGATCCCCTGCATCCCTCTGGATCCCCTGCATCCCTGACAGCCCTGCATTTCTGTGTTGCAGGCCGAACGTGTGCGCAGAGCAGGAGCTGGGGGTGGTGGCGCTGCGGCAGCCTTGCAGCTGTGACCCCCTGGATCCCCTGCATCCCTCTGGATCCCCTGCATCCCTGACAGCCCTGCATTTCTGTGTTGCAGGCCGAACGTGTGCGCAGAGCAGGAGCTGGGGGTGGTGGCGCTGCGGCAGCCGTGCGTGCAGGCGCTGAGCCGCGCTGCCCGGGTGTGGAAGCAGGACTGCGGGGAACGCCGCTGGTGCGCGGGCTACGAGCGCAGGTGGGTGCTCTGCGTGCTCCTCCCTCCACCTTGGGCTGCTCCTCCTGAAGGATGGAAAGTTCCACAGACACTAAGGAAGTGAGGGCTGATGGCTAAAATAACAGTAAATGTGGCTGTGGTGTAAGGGATGGGGTGGGGCAGGGACTGCTGGGGTCAGCAGGATTTGCTGCAGGGTCATGTCTTTGTTTGGAAAGACAGGTGTCTAAGGAAGGCAGGAGCCTCCTCTGAAATGGAAAATATAAACCACCCCCCCTGAGTCACTATAAATTTTAAATTAAGAAGCTCTCAGGCAAAAAATATGGGAGCGGGAATAACAGTTCTTTATTAGGGAAGAAAATAAAAATAAAACAAGCAATGCATTAAACTAAAACAACGCTGGCAAAGTCAGAACACAGCCTGACACCCTGTGGGTCAGGCTGTTGGCAGCAGTCCCATTGGAATTGTGGCTGCAGCCCTCCTGCAGTGCCAGGGGTGGTTCTGCTGGAGCAGGGATCCTGTAGAAAGGTGCAGTCTTGCTCTGATGATCCAGTGGAAGAGGCAGCTGCTCCTCTGGGAATCAAGTGGAGAAAGCTGTGCTGGTGTCCCAGAAAGTCAGGTTATATCCAGGTAGGAATGCTTGGCTCTCCCCTCTGGGCTCACATCTCCCAGTGGATGCTGTAGTTCTTATCAGCCATGCAGGGACATTCCATAGCCTGTTATCAGCAGATGTTCCCCAAGGGAGGATTGGGTGTGAAAAGATAAGGAAAACTGCCCACTGAACAGAAGACACCTGCCCTACAGATGGCAAATAGAATACAATCTGCTTGGCAATCCAGGACAGGTCACCTTGTTCCTTTCACTCCCTGAGCTGGACCATGCTCAGGCCCACGTCAGAAGAACTTGAGCTGGGCTTGCACAGGTGAGCACAGGGCTGGAACATACCCTGAGTGCTTGTCCACCTAATCACAGCATCCCTTGGGCTCCCAGCTGGCCAGGGATGGGAGCCCAGGCAGGTCCTGCAGAGGGGGGCCCTGAACAGTGTCACAGCACAAAAAAGGTGTGGCATTCACATTCTCTGAAAAAATCCCTTCGCTCAAGATTTTTCTCCTGGGAAGCTGAGAGGTCTCAGAGAAAAGGAAAACATTTCTTATCTCATTTGCTTCTCCCGTGTTGTGCTCATGTGGAATGTGTTTGGAGATTGTTCACCCACAGGTGATTGTTCCATTGCATTCTGGTGTGAGTTGTTTTCACTCTTTGGCCAATCAGGGCCAAGCTGTGTCAGGGCTCTGGAGAGAGTCATGAGTTTTCATTATTATCTTTTTAGTAAGTATCCTTTCTGTATTATTTAGTATAGTATATTATTTTTTTAATATAATATAGTATTATAAAGTAACAAATTAGCCTTCTGAGAACATGGAATCAGATTCATCATTCCTCCCTGCCATGGGCACCCTGCAAATACAATAAAAAGGAACTTTTCTTACCTATGCAGCAGCCAAAGTACAATGTGCCCAAGCTGCTTCCACCCTCCACCTGCTCTTCCGGCCTCATTAGGGAGTACAAGCCTTTGCAGAATAAAAATTATAGTTGTCGTTTCAAAGAAACATCTTGGACTCAAGACAGCTTTTAAGTCCTGACTTTAGGAATTCCTCCTAACCTGTAATTGCTGGTAATTACCCTGGTGATGAGATCTGTGTCCTGGTAACAAAGGAGCAAACAGAGTCTGACTCTTGGCTGTGTTTTCAGGGAAGGCTTTGAAAGGATGGGTGTCCTGTCTGCTTCCACTTCAAAGGCTGGGAGCTCTTCAGCCCCAGCAGTCCCTTCAGCTCCTTAAGGGATGGGTTTGACATCACACATCAAGGGACTGAAATGAAATAACTTTCAGTTCTGCTTCGTTACAAATATCAGAACAGCCCAGTGCTAAAACTGACCCTGATGGAAGCACAGAGGGGAAGCCACGGAGGGATCTCACCCCAGGGGCTGTGAAATCCAGACAGGGAAAGGACTATCAGCAGAACATTCCCTGGGCAAGGTTTTGTCCCAGATCTCCTCTCTCTAAACTTCTGGGAGTCCCCATTCCAGCAGGCTTTTCCAGGAGCTGGGAGCTGCCCTGCCAAGTTCCCTTGTGCAGGCAGCGGAGCGCGGTGTCGGCACCCGCAGGGACGCTGGAGCTGCTCCAGTTGGACCCGGCTCTGGCAGCTCAGGAAGTGTGTTCACAGCTCCAGGATCTGGCCTGAAAATGGCCTTGGAGTTCCTGGAGGTGACTGGGAAAAGCAGCATCTGCTCAGCTGGAGCATCCTTGGGTGTGTTCCTGGCGAAGGGATGTTTGTGCATCCCTTTGTGCAGTGTCCCAGTGAGTGACAACAGCAGGTAGCTTTGCTCAGCCCTCCATAACCAAGCTTGAAGGAATCCCAGCTATTCCAGAGGGGCTGGAAGGGGACTTTCCAGCAGCAGGACACAGCAGGATTCCCTGTGTTCCATTACTTCTGGCTCATTCCCCGTTTTCTGTGCCAGAGACTCCTTAAAACACAAGAGAAAAGAGAAACACTGAAGATAAAGTATCTCCTGTGTGGCTCTTTCCCGTCTGCAGCACCCAGATACCCAGAGGCACCGAGGCTGTCACAATATTTGCCTGTCCTTGAGAGCTGCCTGAAGGGTCTGGAGTGTCCAACAGAGCCACCCAGGAGGGTGGGATGAGGCTGCTCAGGGCACTGCTGGGGCACAGGGAGCCCTGAGTTGTCCTGCATCACTATTTCGTGCTTTTCCTCCCCATTCCTGAGCCTCTTTGTCATGGTCACACCACCCTGCATCCACCATCTCCCCTTCTCCTTCCTGCTGGGCTGGACAGAGCTCCTGGTACCACGAGGATCCTGGTGGGCTGGAGCCTGGTGCCTGGGAATTGCTTTCTCAGCTGCTTTTGGAACACAACAATTTCCTTCATAATTTGTTAACAGCTCATAGAAAACAAAAAAACCCCAAAATATTGGTATCTGCTTTTATTTTTCTCAGCTGTGCTTCCACGTGCTGGTTGGCACGCAGGAGTTGCTGAAGGTTTCCTTCCCAGGGATTAAAGGTTCACTTTTATTTGGGTTTTTTTTTGTAGGAACATCCAGACAAAATCAAACAAGTCGACTGAGTTAGGATAAATATTTTCAGTGGACATGCACAACACATCTGCTGGTGCCAAATATTTGTTGTTGTTTGCCTGATTCGCTTTGGTGGAGCAGTTTCATGTTCTGCCAAGGGAGCTTTTTAAAAATCAGCTTCAGAAGTATTATCTGTGTTTCAATTCTCACAAACACACAACACCAAATTTCCGGGGCAAAAAATGTGTCGCTTTTATTTATTTACGCTTCAGATCAGTCCCTGATTTACTCCCCCAGCTCCCACCCTGGAGGGAGCTCCTGGGAGTAGTGAAAGGGACCCTCAGTGTTCCCTGCCAAGCTGTGGAGCCTTGCTGTGTCCAGCACAACTCCTGGAGCAGCTTGGTGTTGCCATCAGGATTATGTTGATTTTTTGGCTCACTGGCCCCTTAGAGACACCTGCTCCTGCTCACTAAGGCAGAAATAGCTGTTCTTAAAATTTACATTTCCTTGGTGAGCAAAGGAGGAGCTCAGAGCTGTAAATAGTCTAGAAAAGGAGAAAAAAAAGTCTGGGGTGTTATGAGGACCTGGGTGTTGCCTCTTGTGCCTTGGTGAGCAAGCAGTGTATTACAGCTCAGAGCAGTAAATATTCTAGAAAAGGAGAAAAAAATAATCTGGGGTGTTATGAGGACCTGGGTGTTGCCTCTTGTGTTCCTAATTAGCATAAATTAGGAGTATTTTCTTAGCAGCAGTGATCACTGCCAGGCCGTGTGAAAAACAATGGCAGCACCTTTGCAAACCTCATTTTACTTGTGCCCATGGCTACAAATCCTGTTCTTCTCCATTTCCCTGCCCTGCAGGAGCTGACTTTGGCTGGGTTTTGTGTTCCAGGGTTGTGTATTACACAGGCTACAGACAGGTGTACCAGCTGAGGTCCCAGACCACCTACAGGTGCTGCCCAGGATGGTCCCAGCTCGCAGGGGATGCTGGCTGCCTGCACAGTAAGTGTCACTCTGCTCTGCTCAACTTCCTTGGTTTTGGCTCGTTTCAAGTCCTGTGCCTGAGGAAATGCCCTAAAAATGTCTTTAAATGTCTTTAAAATGTGCTTAAAAATAACTGTCATGGGGTTTTGTTAGATTTCTTTCCTGGTGTTGTAGTAATAATAATAATAATAATAATCTTCTCCCGCTTCTCCTTCCTCTCCTTCTTTCTTCTTTCTTCTTTCTTCTTTCTTCTTTCTTCTTTCTTCTTTCTTCTTTCTTCTTTCTTCTTTCTCTTCCTCTTCTTCCTCTTCCGCTTCTGTTGCTTCTTCTCCTCCTTCTCCTCCTTCTTCTCCTTCTTCTCCTCCTTCTCCTTCTTCTTTCTTCTTCTTTCTTCTTCTTCTTTCTTCTTCTTATTATTATTTCCTTGCATCAGAAGGATGCTGCTCTGTCTTCCTGGGAAGCACTGTGCAGTGTTTTCCATTTCTGGGGAATTTCTACAGTCAGTGTCCCAGCCATTCATCCACTTGCCAAATGCTGCTAAATGTTTAAAATCCAGGCCAGATTGACGTTTCTAGTGGTTCCACTGGATAAAGCTCTGGAAGCTGCTTTGAGAAGGTTTGTCAGGGGCTGGGTTGGTTATTTTGGGGCTGATTTGGAGCTGCCCCTGTGAGAGGTTTGGGATCTCTGCATCCACCCTTTGCCAGCTCCCTGCTGTATGCAGAGGGAGAGCTGGGCTCAGGGTGGTGATTCGGCAGTGGCAGCCTGGAGGAGGGGACACACAGCCAGGGGAGGGGGTGGCACTGCTCAGGTCTGGAGTGGACACCCAGAATTTGATGCTTTGGGATCCTGTGGCTGGATTCCTGCTCTTTCCCAGGGTGATTCCCTGCCAGACAGGCAGGGGAGCATGTCCTCCCCAGCTGTGGGGGAAGCTGTGAGATGTATCCAGGTCCGCACATGATGGGGATGTGCAAATATCAGCCTGTGAGATGATTTTATGCTGTTGTTGAGGAAGACAGAGGCAGCTTTATCCCCGTGGGCCCCACACTCCCCATTTCCCTTCAGATTCTCTGTCTGACACAGGAGGCAGCTGCTGTGTCACTCCCCAAACCCTGCAGCCACGTCCAGCTGGGGAAACATTTAACTGGGAACTACTTCTGAGGTGCTGAGAGCAAGGGATAAACCTCTTGAATGGGACCAAACTTAATGTGCAGAAGCAAATGTTACCTTGTGCAGAGCCCTGCCCCCTCCTTGTGCTGTGGGATCAGTTCCTGCCTCCGTGCCTGATTCTTCTCTGATTTACACCTTGGAGGTGCTCTCCACTTTCCCCACAGGAAAGCAGCTTTGGATTTGAGTGATAGGGAGATAGCAGAGCATTTTGGGGTCTGATATAGCAGGTGGCAGAGCATTTTGGGGTCTGATATAGCAGGTGGCAGAGCATTTTGGGGTCTGATTAGCAGACAGCAGAGCATTTTGGGGTCTGCCCTGCCCTGCCATCAGGACAATCAGAGGCAGCTCCCTGGTGGAGGCAGGCAGGGTTGGGATTGACCTCCAAGACAGGAAAGTGTCTCCCATAGCTGCTTGCTTGCCTTTTTTTCTGTGGAGAGGCTGTGTGTGCCTTCCCTGGGCTTTGATGCTTGTAGCAAAGCTTTTTTTAAAAAAAAAAAAAAAAGAAAAAAAAAAAAGGAAAAAAAAAGATAGAAAGGTGTGTCAAACAACCAGTCTTTATTCTTCCTATTCCAAGCTGTGGCAAGGAGAACAACCCACTGGGGAGAGGAAGCTCCACGGGTGCCTTGTAACCCCTGTCAGTGAGCAGATAATAACCTCAGCTGAACTCAGAAAAGCACCTTCTGTAATGAGTTTTCCTGCCAAGGAAATGAGTAATTCCATGCAGGAAGGAAGCAGAGAAAAGGAAATAGAGCTGCTCAGGCACGCTCTGAACTCATCCTTCTCATCACCAGGGCTGGGAGTGGCCCTCAGGGGCTGCTCAATGCAGGGGAGAAGAGAGGGACAAAAGCAGAGTGACAGCAGCCCAGAAACTCCTGCAGGAATTGCTGCTGAGCTGCTGGGGAGGTTGAGGTGGATCATGACCAGGAGATGGTGAGCTCTGTCCCCACCCAGCCCTTCAAACCCAACTGGATACCACTGGGTTCACACCCAGGACATGCTGTAACCTTATTCCTGGGACAGAAAAACAGATATTTATGTGCCTCAAGTGCAACAGGCACAGGCAGGGGACAGAAAATAAAATTACATTGCTCTGTGAATCATCTTCTGAGCCCCTGAGAGCAGCAGCAGGGCAGCCTCCAGGTGAGGGCTGAGGTGGGAATTGTGCTCTCTCTTTCCAGACCCCCACAGGCAGCTGGAGGAGCATCCCACGGGCAAACAGGACAGCTCTGCCTGTGTGGCATTCACATTTTCTGGGAAAATCCCTTCACCCAGGATTTTTCTCCTGGGAAACTGAGATGCCTCAGAGAAAAAGGAAAACAATAAGTATCTGATTTGTTTCTCCTGTGTTGTGCTCATGTGGAATGTGTTTGGAGATTGTTCACCCATAGGTGATTGTTTCACTGCATTCTGCTGTGAGTTGTTTTCACTCTTTGGCCAATCAGGGCCAAGCTGTGTCAGGGCTCTGGAGAGAGTCACGAGTTTCATTATTATCTTAGCATTCAGTAAGTATCCTTTCTGTATTCTTTAGTATAGTTTAGTATAGTATCCCTTAATATAATATAGCATCATAAAATAATAAATTAGCCTTCTGACATGGAGTCAGCTTCATCATTCCTCTGTGCCACGAGGGACCCCACAAATACAACATACCTGACCCTGCAGGTTCCCCAAGCCAGGGTGTGTGTGCTGATCTCTGTCCTGGGGTGTTGGATTGTTCCTAGCTTTACAGCCACGGGGTAACTGAGAGGTGTTTTAAAAGATTTTATTTCTATTTCCCACGTCAGGGAACGTGCCTGGGCTCTCACCCTGAGCAGCTCCAGGCTGGGGGTTTGCAGGGGTGTGCTGGCTTTTTCTTGCTGGTGGCTTTGGCCTCCTCAGTGTGTCCTTGTGGAGCAGAGGAGATGGAGGAGGGTCTGGGAGGGAATTGTCAGTGACCTTCAGCGAGGTGCTGGGGCTGGGGCACACAGCCAGGCTGTTGTTTATGGGTGCTGGGAGCTCCCCTGGTCGGTGTGTAGAGTCTGGGGTCAGGCTGTGTGTGCTGCTGAGTGCCACAGAGCTGTGCCAGAACGTGTCAGCAGGATTTGTGGCCCTTCCTGTCCTCCTCCAGAGATCATTGATGGCGTTCCAGGAGCGCGGGGCAGGGGAAGGGCATCACTGCTGACAGTTTAATTAGGGCTGGTGTGCAGTGGGATCTCTCCAGGGAGGACTTCTTGCTCTCCCTTGGGGACTGGCATCTCCTCACTGCAGGGTTCTGTTTGCTCTTTGCTGGTCGTCATTTCTCCTTAAAAATAAAAACACCTCCTTGTGGGAATTGGAAAAACAGAAACTTCACAGACACTGAAGGGTTTGATCTGCAGCCTTGGGAGAAGCTTGGATTGATGTCAAAATACAATACACAGACACTAGGCAGAAAAATCATAAAGTTATGTTTTATAGCTGTAAGAAAGAACATGCTTAAGTAAGTGAGAAGCTGTATTGGTGAGAGGGTGAAGGGTTTATAATGTGGGGTGTGGTTTTATGGAATAAGCTAAACATTTAGAAGTTATAACAGATTAAGTTATAACAGTTATAGAAGCTATAGCAGTTAAACATTTGTGTGCAAGTGAGACAGAAGGCATTGGACAAAAGCATCCACAGTGCAGCAGAAGTAAAGGTGATAGGTTAGAAAAGCAAAATAAACCCTGTGGCAACTGTCCATTGGGTTAGAAAGTTCTATATTGCCTTGTAACAAAGAACTTGTGACTACTTTGAGCTATGGCTGACTTCTTGCTCCTCTAAAATCCCACAGCCTCTGAGACTGATGTTTATCTGAGCAATAAAGCATTCTTAGCTTGAAAATAGTCCCATCCCTTCATTTCTGAGGGTGACAATCACACCCCAGCCCATGTGAGGGGAAATTTTCAGCACTGCAGGCTCGTGTGCAACCAGCCACCTCCTTGTTGGAGCATGTGGCACTGTCTGACATTGATGGTGTGATCCCAAACACCGTCATGAGCTGGGAGGTGCCAGCACCCTGTCCCAGGTCAGGGGAGTTGTTTGGGCTCTCAGAGCTGTCCTGGTGCCTGGAAGAGGAACTCACTGTTAGCACAGGTTGGAGGCTGGCTGAAGCAGAACTGGGCTGTCCTCCCCTTCCCCATGTGCAATTTGTGTCTCTGAGCTCTTACAGGTGAAGAAATGTCCCCTCTACAGAGCTGTGGGGACAGTACTGGCAGGCTGTGGGCTCTGCTAGGGGCAAATATCTTAGAACGAGATGGAAAATTTTATAGAAACAGAGACCTCAGTGCTCTCACAGAATATTTGGATTTGTTCCTCTCCTCGTGTGCCCTCTGACAGCCAGCCTTGCTCCTGTCACCCCAGGGCTGTCACAAGGAAAGGCAGGGATCCCTGACCCTGGCAGGGCTCTGTCTTTTGTCCCTTCTCTTCTGGTGGCAGCAGAGGAATTTGTTGCCTTGCATTGCCCTCTGTCCTGGACTGTTCATCTCTTTGGGAAGGAGAAAGGTCAGAAGTCAAGGCACCCTTTGCATTTTTCGGATGGCATCAGGTTCTTTCCCTGCCTGATCACTGATAGTTTAACTCTCAGACTGAGCTGCCTGCCTTCAAGTGGCCTCTGAGATGCTGCTTAAATTCCACCTGGGTTCAATAACACAGGTAAAGCCCTCATGTGAGGGGCCTGCATATCTGCTAAGCTCTGTGATCTCCACTTCCAGCTGGAGATGTTGAAAATCTGAGTCCCTCTGAGCCTGGAACTCTTGATGTGTGTGCAGGAGCTGAAGCTCAGCCACCCCCAGCTTTTCTGTGCTCTTGGGCCAGGCCCTGACACCTTCAGAAAAGACATGGAGAGGCACAAAGGC